ACACATACATGTACGCACACACACACAACGGTACCTCTGTGAAGTTGTAGAACGTTTCGCCGACGACGGGAAGGGACTTGTGGATGTTTCCCTTGTCAATCACGTCCTCAAGGTCCGTGGCAAGGTTCTGTGCAATTTCATGCAAGTCGCTCGTGTTGCTGAAGATGGCGGCGATGGTGGACTCCGGCACCTCAAACTGCGACTCAAGCGTGTCCACAAACACCTATATGGAGGTGCAGAAGGGGAAGATAATGTGGGTGTGGCGTGATTGTAGTGAGTGATGAAGACACAAAGCACGTGTGCACTGCTGAGCGTGTGTTGGGTGTTGCTGTTGTTGCTGTTTGCTTCGCTGGCCTTGCCCAATGGAAGGAGGACACCAGTGAAGGTTGACGCTTCCATCTACACACACTCTCTGTCTCTCTTTCTCTCCGTCTGTCTCTGCCCCTGTGTCTATCTGTCACACACACACACACACACACATCCATTAATCCACCTTGCTGATGGCGTCGAGTTTGCTGACGAAGTTGTTCTCAGCGATGAGGCATTCGCGGACGGCCTCGGAGTAGCTGAGCTTGATGTACGCCTGCACCGTTGGCGGCGCCGTGCACCGACTCGTGATTGCAGACAGGTCCTGGGGGGGATGATGGACGGAGATGGGGTGTGCGACGTGTGCGCGCGTGTGCATGTTTGTTTGTTTGTTTGTTTGTGCGTGCGTGTGCGTGCGTGTGCGTGCGATGATTGTAGTGAATGTGTTTGTTTGTTTGTTTGTGCGTGCGTGGGATGGGGTGTGCGTTATGAAAATGCGTGGGAGGAGGAGCAATAGTGGTCGTGGTCATAGTCGTTGTGTAGCATGTAAACATTGCACACAACGCTGTGAGCAGACAAGCGACGCAGACACGGAATGGCGTCATGAACACTCACCAGCCTTGCTTCCATGGTGACCTGCAGGGTTTCCTCTGTGATGACAGTTTCCTGCAGCTGCTGTGCATAACTCACGGCAAACTTCACACACAAATACACCACACATCACAGGCATACTCCCGTCGTGAGACAACGCACAAGAAATGCAACGCACACGTACGTTTACACAACACACAAGTATCCACACACACACAGAGCACAACGCACACGCACACACACACACACATACACATAAATGCACGCGCATCTGACCTTGAGGATTTCAAAGGCGAGCTCCTCCACGGCGGTGACGAGAATGAGAGCGACCTCGCTGGGCAGATTTGGGTCCCGCGCAACCTCCTTCTTCAGCAAACTGTGCACCTGCACGCATTGGGGGTGGGGTGTTCTCGATTTGTGAACACCAGAACACCACAACGGGCCGCCAGTCTGATACATTCAAAGAACACACACACACACACACACACACACACACACACACACACAAACACACACACACAAAAGCACACACACACACTAAAGCACACACACACACACAAAAGCACACACACACACACAGAAAAGCACACACACACATACACACATACACAGACCCCCCCCCCATACACACACACGCGCGCGCGCGCGTACCTTATCGACGGGGAACAGGCGCTTGATCTCGGACTTGCGCCGGGATGCAGACTGCGCAGCGACGGCGGCGCGACAGCCCTCCAAGATCCATTCGGAGACGCTCTCCGGAAAGAGGCGCTCGATCGCGTCCTCGGCAGCGGCCCGCGTCGTTGGAAAGCTCCCGCGCACGCTGCACAAGTGGGCCAGGATGTTGTAGATGCGCTCATCAAGCATGGCCAGCGCTCCGTCAGAGACGGCGAAGCTGCTGGAAGGGCTCAGCTTCCGCACCAACTGCACGCCATCGCCAGCAACCACAACAAGCAAGCAGCAAAGACACGTGAATGTGGTGCGCCGATGCAAACAGCAAACCATGCACAGGCGCGTTTAGGATACAGAACCACGAGCCATCAGCGCCGCTTGTGTAGTGTCAAGTGTTTGCGACACCATCTCCACGCTCCATGCCATGACTTGTTTCCACAACCAAACGTCAACACACACACACACATACACACACATACACACATACACACACATACAAGCATCGCAACTACCAAAAGTAAACAAAACCCACCCACATGCAGAACCAGCACACACACCTTCTTCAGCGGCGATACGAACAGCTTGGCCCATCGCACACGGTTTGCCGCCCAGTCATACGTAGACATGGTGGCAGCAGCAGGCACGTCGTGAGGTACACAGAGAGAGAAAAGACAACAACAGAGGAGAGAAGCAGGCGGAAGGAGGACACGTCGTGACGATGAGTCCTTGGGAGGGGAGGGGTGTGTGGGGGTTGGGGGGAGAGTGGGGTGGGTGTTCTGTTGTTGTGGAGAAGACGCGGTGCGGTGCGCAATTTTGCAAATTGTAGGGATGACCATGCGTGCAATTGGCAAATCAAGGGCAGTGAACACAAACAACCAACAACAACACAGTTACGAAGTTGAGATATGTGTTGCGATCCACCAATCACGCAGACATCACAGACACCACCAACAAGCGCAGCCACATCAAAGCATGGCAGAGAAGGACAAAGACCTGGAGCCACAGCTCAAGGACACCAACCCTCGTGTCCTCACAGGTGAGAGGGCGTGGAAGGGGGGGGGGGGGGGGGGTGACATGAACGGAGTTTGCTCGCGGTGTTTTGGTTGTGTGTTGTGTGTGTGTGTGTGTGTTTTGCCTGTGTGTTTTGTTTGCGTATGGGTTGTTGAGTTTGTGTCACTGCAATCGAGGTGGAGAAGTTTCTGCTGCTCACATGCTGCGATTGCAATGATGCATGGGGTCATGTCGCAGCCATCGAACAGAGATGGGCTGAAGAACAGCGACAACTCAAAGAGAAGCTGATTCTCGAGGACAAACATGAGGTGGCATTCTGACAAGCTTTCGCGCGGTGCACGCATTCAAGGAACACACACATATAGATAGGCACATGTTCACGCACGCAGCAAAAAACACCCTCACCCACTCACCCAATCATCCTCACCCACTCACCCACACACACTCACACACACACACACACACACACTCACTCCTTCACACACTCCCTCATTCACTCACTCACTCACTCACACTTCCTCCCTCCCTCGCTCACACTCACTCCCTCCCTCGCTCACACTCACTCCCTCCCTCGCACTCACTCACTCACTCACTCACTTACGCGCACACACGCGGCATGGTTACTCGTGTTATGATGATGATGATGTGCTGGCTGATGACAATCGTTGCAGTGGACCCTGGACGACGTCAGGAGAATTGGTGGCGTGGACATCTCGTTCATCAAAGGGAACGACGTTGACGCGTGCGTCTCCTTGGTCGTGCTGAATTATCCATCGCTGGAGGTGCGTGTTGAATTTCTTGCTTGCGCAATGCTGCATCATCAACTTGTCTTCGTGTCGCTCTCTCCCTCCGTGCGCAGTGTGACCATGAAGCGTGGCTTGAACGCTGGCTCGTGTGAACCATGGCCCATGTGTGTGTGTGTGTCTGCATTGCGTTGTAGGTGGTATATGAGGACTGCCACATGGTACGCTTGGAACAGCCGTACATTCCAGGTTTCCTTGCCTTTCGCGAAGTCTCCCATATCCAAACCTGGTCAGACCAGATTGTTCAGGGTGAAAGCGAGTGTCCACGCACTTGCACACACACACACACACACACACACACACACACACACACACACACACACACACACAATTCTCACAAGTTTGGGGACAGCCTCCTTCCCGTTCCATAACATTGGACGCCCTCTCATTCTCATGTGCTGTGACATGCATGTTCGTTCAGCGTGGACAAGCTGCGCACAACGAAACCAGAGCTTCTGCCACAGGTGTGTGTGTGTGTGTGTGCCTGCTTTTAGAATGTGTCCGTGTCACAAGCGTGGCTGTCTGTGCGGGAGCGCCTTGCTTGCGTGCCTGTGCATGGCACGACAGTCTTACATCCCAATGCACTTGCCGTGGTGCACGGTACAAAGGTGATTATGGTGGACGGGAATGGCATTCTGCACCCGCGCGGCCTGGGTCTCGCCTCCCACCTCGGCATCACCGTTGATATCCCAACAGTGCGTACATCCAAATCACATACGCGTCGATGGTGTGTCTGTTTGCAATGTCTGCCTCTGTTTGAGTCTTCTGTGTGTGTGTGTGTGTGTGAGTGAGTGTGTGTGCGTGTGTGTGCGTGTGTGTGCGTGTGTACGTGCCCTGTCGCTCTTGTCGCTCTTGTAGCTGTTGACGCGTAAGATGTGTGTTGCAACAGATTGGGCTGGGAAAGAAGCTGTTTATGGTTGATGGTCTGGACACAAAGGAGTAAGCGCACACACCCATCCTTGTGTATGTGTGTGTGTGTGTGTGTATGTGTGTGTGTGTGTGTGTGTGTAGGGGAGGGAGTTGCTGTTACATTACAACATGCATGTGTTTGTGTTTCATTGCACACTTCGTGGCCACCCACGTTGACACTGTCATTCTGCTGCCGTTGCTCTCGGTTTGCTTCTGCTCCTTGTTTCATTCACAACAACTCACACGCCCATGCCGTCCCAATTCATCCAGGGTGCAGGCTAAAAGCCACGCTGAACTGAAGAAGGGCGGCGACTGGCTCCCACTTGTCGGTATCTCCGGCCAAACATGGTGTGTGTGTGTGTGTGTGCATGTGTGTTGACATGTGTATCAGTGGACATTATTAATGCTTGCCTGCGTGTCTGCCCCACTCCCCCCCCCTGCGTGCCTGCAAGAAGCGGCTGCTGGTGCTACCACGTGCAATCGTTGATGCGATGACTGTGTGCATGTCCGTGATACAGGGGTGCCGCCCTGAGGAGCACAGACACGAATATCAACCCGATTTACGTCTCTGTTGGCCATCGCATCAGGTGAACCGCCTGTCACACCTCTCTTGTCTGTACGTGCGTGTGTTTGTGCGTGCGTGTGTGCGTGTGTGCGTGTGCGTGTGTGTGCGTGTTGAGATAGAGAGAGTGTGTGCACTCCACGGTGTGCATTCCACTGTGTGCACTCCACTGTATGCACTCCACTGTGCCCCCCTCGTTCTCTTCCCCTCCTCACACATGCACCACGCACGCAAACCCACTTTTTTCACGGCCGTGCGTGCATGCTTCCCCCAGTCTCGACACGGCGGCTGCACTCGTGGGGCGATGCTGCCAGTATCGCGTGCCTGAGCCGGTGCGGCAGGCCGACCAGCGCTCGCGCACCTTCCTCCGCACCCTGCAACAACAACAACAACAACAACAACAACAACAACAACAACAACAACAACAACAACAACAACAACAACAACAACAACAACAAGGGCGAGAGCGAGCGTGACTGTGAGAGCGAGAGCGAGCGTGACTCTGAGAGCGAGAGCGAGCGTGACTCTGAGTGTGAGAGGGCTGATCCAATGCTTGTTGTGCTTCGAAGCAGCGCGCCCTTCACTGTTTGCGGAATATCGTTTAAATCTTGTCCAAACTTTCGTACCTCACAACCAAGAATAACGGTACCAAACCTACCAAGATGGAGGCGAGGGTGGAAGAGTTGGTGCAGGCCAAGAACAGCGGCAGCCTGACAGCGGACGAGAGAGAGACGAGGATACAGACGCTCTTGGCAGAGCTTGACAATACCAAAGATGACATACACCCTGCGACCCTCGAATATCTCCAGGGACGCCTCCTTTCGCTCCGAGAACCCCTCGATCCACAGGTCTGTATGTATGTGTGTGTGTGTGTGTGTGTCGGTGTGTGTGTCGGTGTGTGTGTCGGTGTGTGTGTCGGTGTGTGTGTCGGTGTGTGTGTCGGTGTATGTGTGGTACTATTTGTGGGTTTGGTTGAGTTTGCTGTGCACCTTGGTAATCTGCACACTGAAGGGATGTCTCAAATTTAAACCTATTGACGCTGCGTCCTGCCTCCTCATCCATATCAACGGTGGCAGTGTGAGGCTGCGTTGACCAAGAGCGTGAAGCTCAATCCAAAGAATATCGATGCGTGGAATCTGCTGGGAGAGGTCTTCTGGCGGAAAGGCGACCTGTTCGAGAGCACAAGGTGAGGCTGCCTCGCCCCCTGTCGCTCAAAGAAAAGCGGCATACACATGCTGGTCCCTTTCCTTGCTGGTATCAACCGGATGCGCATGTTTCTGCTCACACAGCCCCTGACCGAACACAAACCCTACGCACGTGTAGGTGTTTTGAGATGGCGTTGCACAGAGAAGAGAACGCAGAGAGTCTTCGCAACTTGAGCATGATCACGCGCAAGAAGCGCGTCTCCACCCGCGCCGAGGAGAAGCGCAACATTGAGGAGAGCATCGAGCTGGCCAAGAAGGTCAGACGGTGGTCGCGTATCCCAGGGCCTGCAGTGCACAGGCGTGCGTGTTTTGAGGATGAAGGCATGTCTTCTTTGTGTGCTGCTCTGCCCATGTACTCATGCGCGATGTGCTTGCATGCGCTGCATCTCTGCTGCAGGCCATTGCGTTGGATTTCAGCTCTGGTCGATCTTGGTTTGTCTTGGGAAATGCCTACCTCACCCTCTTCTTCTCATTCTCCAAACAAGACGACCATCTCCAGCAGGTGTGTGTATGCATGTGCACGTGCATGTGTGTATGTGGGTGTGGGTGTGGGTGGGTGTGGGTGTGCATGCATGTATGTATGTATGTATGTATGTATGTATGTATGTATGTATGTATGTATGTGTGTGTGTGTGCATGTATGTATGTGCGTGTGTGAGTGTGTGTGGGTGTCAGCATTTGGTTGATGATGTGAGCAAGCAGCAGCATGCACGCGCGCGCGCAACACAGATAACAACTAACTCGCCCATTCCCCTCTTGTGTCGTACGGGTCCTCTCCGTCTCTTAACCTGTCTCACCAGTCATTGAAAGCGTTTAACCGCGCCACACTGGACAAGAGGGAAGCAGACCACAACCCGGATCTCCATCACAACAGAGGCACTGTCAGTACCAATGTCTACGCTGCCGCTGGCTGCACTGGGGAACGTGTTTGATATTCTCTTGTGTTCGGTGTTGAAGGAAAGCACCACCTGCGCACACTTAATCCCGACAGCTGCACGTGTGCGTTTTCGCGTCTGTGTACACCCTACTCACACCTCACACACAATACAACGCATCATCACTGACCCGCTTGTCCACACACGGCACATCACAACGCAACGCGACACACCACACCACACGACACATGACATACCACACATCACGCGTCCCACAACCACCATCACCACCCCTCATTCACAACACCACCGCCACCATGTCCACGGATCAGCTGCTCAAGTACATTGAGGACTTCGCTGGTGCGCTGGCTGCGCTGCGACAGGCCGTTCGTCTTGATCCCGACCTCGCCTTCTCCAGATCCCTCCACGCAGCCATCGTCGCGCAGATACAGTCTGTCGCAGCAGCCATAGCCAGGAAGGTCCGTCGTCGTCGTCGTTGTCGTCGTCGTTGTCGTCGTCGTGGTGGTGGTGATGGTGGTGGTGGTGATGGTGGTGGTGGTGGTGGTGGTGGTGGACGAGGGATTGGGTGGCGGACTGCGGAGATGTAGACGAGTGACACGCGCGCGCGTGTGTGTGTGTGTGTTTTCGCTCGAGGCTGCTCATCTGATTATGTGTGTCCATCCATGTGCATGCGTGTGTGCAGGGGAGCATCAAGACGAAGCGTGTGCAGCAGTACCAGTCGCAAGTGGAAGCAGCAGCAACAAAGCAGCCGGAGGGTACAACCTGCTGTTGTATCGATGACCTGCAACAGGGGGACAACTCGGGCAAGGTCGGTGCTGTGCCAGCACTGGAGGCGAGCGGGGAGGAGATATAACAGCTGAGATTGTCGTTGCGCTGAGTCGAGCAGTGTATTCGTGAGCGTGTGTGTGAGTGTGTGTGAGTGTGTGTGAAAGCGAGTGTCAGAGACAGGTAGACAAGCAGGTCGACGAAACACCCACCCACACACAAGTGCATTGCAAGGGTGTGCTGCTCCTGCTCACCTTGTGGCCCCATCGCATTGCTGCAGACGTTGGTCGTTAAGTCCATCACCATCCTGACCCGCGAACCCATGCCGCAGTGCGTACCATTCATCACCACATGCACGCTGTGTGTGAGAGAGCTACCATTGGCGCGTGTGTGTCGTGTGTCGTGTGTCGTGTGTGTGTGTGTGTGTGTGTGTGTGTGTGTGTGTGAGGGAGCTACCGTGTGTGTGTGTGTGTGTGTCGTGTGTCGTGTACATCTATGTGCACATCTGTGTGTGCTTAGTGTTGCCTCAAGGTACAAGAGGGTACCGCGTTTCTCGTGCTCACTTGCAAGGTGTGTGGTCCGTGCTGTTTGTTTGTTGACGACAGATTATTTCTCGTGCTGGATCAGCGTGGACAGTTTGCCTGTTTATCAGGTATGAGTAGTGGTGTACAGCAATGGCAGTGACAGCTGCTGCTGTGGCCACGTCATGGTTTGCTTGTGTGATTGTCCAATGCACGCACACTGCGCACAACACACCAGGCTTTCCTTTTGCTTTATTCGACACACACATACACACACTCATACTCACTCACTCACGCCACCCCCTCCTCTGGTGCAGTGTACAATGCGCGAGACAATGTGCTGCTGGCAGGGGATGTGCTGACGATCAAGGACCCTGTTCGGCGCGATGTTGACATTCGCGGAGATGAGGAGTTGGGCGACGTCGCATATCCGTCCATCCGCGTGGAACTTCCCACCGCCATCACCCGCAACGGCCGCAAACTCGGTGAGCGCCATAGCCAAGGGAAGGGGGGGGGGCGGGCGCTTGGTGGAGTAAGAAGGAGGTGTGTGGGTGTGTGTGTGGGTGGGTGTGTGGGTGTGATGCCTGGCTTGGGGGGATTGCGTGTGCGTTCTCACACAGCAGCACGCGCGTTTGGGTTTTGGTTGCACCACACACAGGTCGAGACACACTTGTTGCAGCGCACCTGTCTCTGCACAACAAATAATAACGTAAACGCCACACTCGCCGTACACATACAAAGTCCCATAGCCACGCACGCATGCGCGTGGCGAAGCGAGGGAGACAAGGACGAGGGACGTACAGTGGATTGCTCCAAGGCATGTGGAGAGCATACACACCGTGCTTTGAGAAACAAACACACACACACACACACACGCACACAACAAACAACAAACAATAAGAAAAAAACCGCGCCAACACACATCGACACAGCACCAACAACAGCCACCACCGACAGCGGTGCACGATGCCGTCATACTCGCGGTCGACCACCCGCTCGCGCCGGTCGCAGCCAGCGCCCTCCCTCGCAAAGTCCAACGTGAGTAGTCATCTGGTCGTGTCGCTTGAGCGCCTTTCTTTGCCAGGTGCTGTGTTGTGTCGCCGGCCGAACCAGTGGAACATAATCGCGAGCGGCTCTTTGTACATGTGCATCACCCACACACCCACCCACACACACACACACACACACACACACACACACACACACACACACACACACACACACACACACACACACACACACACACACACATACACACACACACACACACACATATCTCTATATATGTATGTGTGTATATAGGGGGGTATATATATATGTAGATATATGTATATATATATGGGTGTGTGGATTGATATATACATGTGTATATACATATATATATATATAGACACATAGACACAGAGAGATATAGATGTATATATATATATGTGTGTATATATGTGTATATAGATATATATATATATATATATGTCTAT